GAAAAGGAAAAAATCACATGAATAATCCGAACTATTAACAGTCTTCCCGTATTAATCTCAAATATTGATAATTCTAATATAATCCCAAATTCAATAACAATCTTCTCTACTTGATCCCATTTACCCGTGACCTATTCAGCCGGTAAAAAAGAAAAGTAAAAAATAAAAGAAACACAAAGGTGAACAAATACGAAGAACACTGTTCATCTTCTTGCTTTTGCATCTGAAATGGAAATGGAAAAACACTCTGCAAGCTAGGCAACAACGACGAGAACCACCACGCTTATCTTCCTCCACTCTTTTTCAAAGAAGATGACTGAGCATCCGCCACCGCCGGTAGTTGGAGTAGAAACTAGCGCTTGAGTTTCTACAGATTTTTGGAACGGTTGCAGCCACGATGCAGATAACCCTTATATTACTTCTGACCGCCGACCACGCCTTTCGAACACCACCTCTATATTACATCGGTCCTCCTGCGCCTCCTCTGCTCTAGATTCATCACCGCCCTTCCCCAATACCCTGCTTGCACCAATGCACTTCACCGCACATACACATTATGTGTGTGTGTATATGTTCCATATTTGTTTATTTACATTATATATACGAAGTAAATTGCAGTCCATAAATTAATTTAACTGTTTGGATCAAAAAAGATTTTTGAAGAACTGAAGAGATGTGGTAGTATCGAAGATGGTATGGGCAATACAAGGGATGAGAAGAAGAACTGAAGAGATGACCGGAGGGAAAAAGAACTCAGCTCGATCGCTGGAAACTAGGGACGGTCTTGTTCGGTGCTCTGGGCATTTCTTCTCCTGTTTCTTGGCTTAGCAGAATTACCATGGTTGAAAAACAAACAAGGAATAAAAATTTAAATGATTAAACAAAAATATATATTCAACCCAATAAAAATATGACATGTGTCAGAGTGACTTGCTTATCAGGTTGATACAGGTCACCGGGTTATTTTGAGAAGATGTCCTTGATAGTTTAGATTATAATAGAATTATCAATAGTTGGGATTAATAGTTCAGATTATTTATGTGAATTTTTCCTTTGGAAAAAGACTACAAAGCAGAGAAAGAACTATAAAGTATAGATAACTGAGGGAGTACTTTTACTGCTTGTTTATGTTTCCTGACTTTAATTGGCTGGTACTTCAGCAGGCAGAGGCCGAGTAAATTCAAAGATAAATTACTATGTATTCTTAATATATATGGAGCATTATCATATAGGAGGAATGAGTGCATGACATGAGAAACTAAATGAAACTTTTGCTGAAATTGAGAACCTCAAAATAAGAGGATAAAGTCAAAGCAGAATCATGCAAGAGTTTAAAAAAAGAGCTCATAATGAGCAAATTATCAATCTGAGACTTTAAGAAGCTGTTCTCTTCGCCTGATCTGAATGTTTCTGATCTGAATTTTTTAAGTTCTGATCTGATCTGATCTGAATTTTTCTGATCTGATCTGATCTGATCTGATCTGAATCTTTCTGATCTAATCTGATCTGATCTGAATCTTTCTGATCTGATCTGATCTGATCTGATCTGAATCTTCCTGATCTGATCTGAATGTTTCTGATCTGGTCTGATCTGATCTGAATGTTTCTGATCTGATCTGAATCTTTCTGATCTGATCTGATTTGAATTTTTCTATTATTATATTAAAATATTATAACTATATTAATATCTTATTTTTTTATCATATTATTATTAATATTATTAATAATAATTATATAATAATAATCATAATAGTAATAACAATATTAATAATAATAATTAATATAATAATAAAAGTGATAAATCATGTTTGAACTTTTCTGATCTGATCTGATCTGAATGTTTCTGATCTGATCTGAATGTTTCTGTTCTGGTCTGATCTGATCTGAATCTTTCTGATCTGATCTGAATCTTTCTGATCTGATCTGATCTGATCTGAATGTTTCTGATCTGATCTGATCTGATCTGAATGTTTCTGATCTGATCTGATCTGATCTGAATTTTTCTGATCCGATCTGATCTGATCTGAATTTTTCTGATCTGATCTGATCTGATCTGAATAAAATAAGAATAAGTAATAAGTAATAAGAATAAGACGAACAGAACAGCACCTAAGTTATGAACTAGCTAAGATCACACTATTGATCAATGCGAAAGTAAAAGTGGTATTGAAATGTTGTGCAATAGTCCACAAACAGCGGGATGGGTATGCACAAATATCGAGTTGGAAGGGAACTATCATCTTCCGAAGGTTACTGAGATTGAGGTGGAGAAGAATAGGGTGCTAAAAGGTTTCTGAGATTGAGGTGGAGAAGAATAGGGTGCTAAGGATAATTTAGTTATTTGAAATACTTTACTCCCTCCATCCCGGTTGGATCTTTACGTTTGTTTTCGGCACGTTATTTTAGGAGACCAATTAATCGAAGAACAAATGTCATTTGTACTCTTTGCTCTTTGTTATCGGAAACGATTCTACTTCCACTACTTACCCCCAAGCCCTACGCCTTTCTTGTTTCTGCTAACCAAGAACCTCACCATCTCCACCTCTCAAAGCTTCTCGAAATCTTGAAGATAATGGTGAGATTTTTTCTTCCTGGGGTTCACCCGTGTTGCAGCAATGACACAACAGCTTACACTTCTTTTCTTGATGATTGTCATCGTTCTCATTTCTATTCCCCAATCTCTCTCTACAGCGTATGTCATCTCCAATATATCTCCGTCCCTCACTTTTGAAAGAGCCGGGGTTCCCCCTATGGAAATCCAGATTTGATGAGTCAAGGAGGGTATCTCACAACCCTCACAAAGGTCGACTCCTTTGATTCCACTGTCTAGACCTTCACCTCCGAAGAAGGTGTCCCGAACGCCTGCGGCCGCGTTCTTGGCGGCACACCATTAACGTCGGCTCATACAAAAGGGCAAATGAAGTATTCTATCTTAGTTTAGGAATAAAATACGACAGCTGATTAGTCAACCAATCTTATGGATGGGTCGAGAGACTCATCGTATTATGGTTCGAGCTCCATACCTATTAGTGGTTGTTGGGGTAGTGGGTGGGTGATTTGTGATGTACAATTAAATGTAAAATGTGAGTGGATAGTGAATGATTATGAATGGTAGTTAGGACAATTAATGTAAAACAAGTTGCCATAGGGAGAAACGTAAAAATTTTAATAAAATGTTCCAATAAAGAAAGTGTAATGATTTAAATGAGACGGACGAGTTTTTTTTTTAACAAGGCGGCTTATATTGATGATAATAAAACATTCAGCAAGGGACCAAAAAGATAAAGGGAACATTTCCAGCCAACGATCCTCAAACCAGCCTAAGAACCAATCACCCTAAACAGAGCAATGTGATTCGCTGATCCTATCATGGGTCTACATGAGCCTAACCTGGCCTGATCAAAACCCTCATAACCCTACTTAATGCAAGAGTCTGAAAGGAGAAAATAACAGTAACGGAAATAAACAAGTTCTTAGCAAAAAGCTAGAAAAATAAAGAATGAAAAAGTGAAAATTAAGCTGAATCCTCATGATCAAGAAGAGCTCCAGCTCCCTCCCCCGGCACAAATAATCTTCCGAAATCACGGCGGGTTGAGGTGCCTCAACCCGCCCCTTCCCCGTTTTTTGGGTTATCCAAGGCCATATTCTCCCTCTCATCCCTCTCACCACTAGAATCTTCCCAAGTTCTCATGCGTTTAGGCTCCCCGGTAGTCCCTTCCTCAACTGACTTGTCTTCAGTTTCCATTCGGCCTTTGCTTCCTTCAATCAAGGAAAACCCCCAAACCCTTCTGCTTGGGCCCTCGCTCCCATGAGTCCCACCTCCTTTCCTGCCCTGTCCTTTTGGGACTAGCCATTTATTTCCTCCTAGAGCCCGATAACTCCCCCCTTCCCCTGCACGCAGCCCGACCCCATACACCTTAGGGGTCTCCACATTTTTATTCTCACACGCCAAAGGGCAGTACCTATCAGCATGCCCAATGATACCATAGACAAAGCAAAAACTAGGCAACTTTTCATACTTAAAATCAACCCAGAGCCCTTCTCCATGCCCCTTCCTAAGGGTCGTACCCACCTTTAGCGGCTCCCCACATCCAGACAAACTCTAATCCTCATATAAGGTTTCCATTTTTTCTCAAATTAACTCTTATCAAAACTAACAAATTTACCTATGGCGTTTCCAATCCTCCTGGCAACCCCCAAATTCATAAAGTCATATGGAACATCATGCACTTGAACCCAAAATTCAGTTTCATTCAAAGGGACACGAAGGGGAACATCCCCTGGCTTTAATGCCCGAAGAATTAACAAGTTCTGCTCGAAAGTCCACGGACTACCTTCCATCACACGTTCCAAATCAAGAATATGATAGAAAGTGAACATGTACCTTTTTTCGCTGATCTCTTTTATAGAAATACCTTTAACAGGACCCCCTTTTCGAGACATAAGATCTCGAAAAGCCGAAAACTTCATCATTCTGTCCATAATCACAATACCCACCACGTGAAAGGTCTCTTCATCGGCTGGATCTTCCTCACCATCGATAGACTCTTCTTCAAAAACAATCTCGTCCTCTTTATCCCCAATAGCCATGTCCTTGTATAGTTGTATTTGTTTGCAATATCCTCCATCTCTTGTTGTCTTCAAATCGAGTGTACCTTACCCCTACTGCCCGTGCCCGACTAGCCGATCAACTCGGACGACTGATCTCAAACACGAAGGAAAAGCAAAGAGACGAAACAGAGAGTAACGCCGAGCCGAACGAAGGCCGGACGAAGAGCCTGCCACCACGAACGACGGCGAATGCTCTATGGACGAAAAGCTCAAAACCCTAGAGCTCTAGGGACAGCTCCCCCCCTGCAAAGTCGAACTGAGGGGGTATTTATTCTTATTTAATTATAATTAATAGGCTATGAATAATAATTTGGACACTTGAATAGAATTACCCAATATCTAATAACACATCGTCAGATTAAGGCCCAAGCCCTAAAAGTATTTACGAAGTATCTTTTCTGGAAGGCCCAAGATTAGCAAAACGAGAGAGAATCGGAACTCGCTGCGTTCAACTTGAAACGTAACCTTGCTCTCGCTCTCAGTTCGTCGAATCGGGTGCTTCCTCATTATTCTTTTTCCGATTGTTATCAGACGTTCAAATTCATCGCGTATGGAAAACGACGAAGAGCAGTGCATCGGTTCACTTCACAAAAACAAAAAGAAACAGGGTTCCAGCAGCAAAGCTGTTCCGAAATCTCAGCAACACAATACTGCGAAAGGGACCTCCAATGTGAAGGTGGAAGTTCCCGAGGAACCCAATCGTAAGCGGAGCTCGAAAAAGATTTCTGATTGTAAAGCTAAACCCATGAAACAAGAGGCTGTTGACGATTTTCAAGTGTGTAAATCCAAAACCGCGGTTAAAAAAAATGAAAAGGTTTCTTCTTTCTTGTTTCCTGATATTTTTCCTATAGTTTAGTTTGATTGTTTGGTTTAGAATCGGGGTTTTGGGTTTAACGGTGTTTAGGGTGTTAATACTGTAGTGTTAAAAGAGGTGTTGTTATTAACTTTTGCCTTTTGGTGGAAAGTAATAAAAAATTACGAATGCTAGTAAAGGGTGAGAGGTGCTACGGGTATAACGCTCATCACCTCAAATTTTCACTTTTTGACCTCCAATTTTGGGTCGCTTCAATTCTTCACTTTTTGGTACTCCAATTTCGGTGTGTTTCTGTGTTTTGGAGGGCTGGACAATCAATTGCCCCCTCTATCCCTATAGTTCTTCATCTTTTTCCCAAAACTTTAGCTTAGTTATTCATATTATTGTGGCTTATCCGTATAATGCCCAAATCTTCTGAGTTCCTTCAGTTTGTTCTAAAGTATATCCATTATAAGTAGTATATAATTTTCCAAAATTGCTTCTTTATATGTTTACATGACTGATAGTATTGAAAGAGATCAACATTGAAATATAAATTTAGTTTTATACTCCATATATATATATATATATATTTGTCAATAAAAATGCTTCATTTACTAATACTCCATGCTATTACCTCTCCCCAACAATATCTCTCCAAAAAAGCTAAGTTGATGTTTTATGCTTGCACTAACCTTCTCCTTCTTTACTGACTTCCTTTATTAACACCTCATCCAAATAAACCCAAGTTGCAGAAAAAGATGAAGGGTGAAGAACAAGAGGGCGAGGAGGATTACAAAGATTGTAAACCCAAAAATGCTGATAATAAAACAGAAAAGGTTATTTTTTCTTAAGCTTGAATTGTTGTTATAATAACTACTTTGATATTTTTGTTTGGAATTAGATATTTGGGATAAATACGTAGGAAAAGGTGAAGAAAGAGGAAGAGCTGCAGATTATTACTGGAAAGAAAAAGGAGAAGAAGGTTTATGATTTGCCTGGTCAGAAGAGGGATCCTCCAGAGGAGGTATGTGGTTGTATTTCTGAAGAACCTTTTGTGTATTAGAAATTTCATTTTATCATAAAGTGGCATACTGACATACTCACTCTAATAAAGTTCTACATACTAAGAGCAATAAAAGAAAATGATGTAATAAAGTTTCCCCCTAATAATGTTTATTGGTTTTTTGGTTTGGGTGTTCCAGGGTGACCCATTAAGGATTTTTTATGAATCGCTATACAAACAATTGCCAGAAAGTGACATGGCTACAATCTGGTAAGGGAGTATTTATGTGATTAAATGTTTCTTTTTGTTGCCAAAGTGCCATCATATATAAGCATCATATTCTAGAAATATTGTCATTGGTGAGTGGTTGGCTCATGGGGATAGTAGTGTTGGTCAATATTTGGTCTGAGATGTATGAATGGTTGCTTTAGCATTAATGTTTCTGAAGTTTTTTGAGCATAGAACTTGTCTAAGATGCATGTCTCTTAAACATTGCCCAAAAATGCTATTTGGAAGGGAATGACACCCACCATGATGCGCTGTTTTGAATCTGTGATGCAGTATTTCTTGGGTTGCATTTTATGTACTACCAAATGAAGCGGTACTCCACATCTTTTTTTCTTTTTCGTATCTAGTTTAACATATGTTGGGTGCTCTTATTTGGCGTTACCATGAATTAAGATTTATTAAGTTCTAATATAATTCAAACTAAGATTTAAAAGTTTAAAATTGTTTGACATATACTTAAATTCCTTGGCTTTTTTATGATATAAATGTGGAAATATAATGAATCTGAAGTTCTAACAAATACGAATCATAAGCTTAGTGGGTTTGTAGCAATGGTATACTTTTTTTTCCATACATATTCTAGCCTTCAAGTTCCGCCGTGAGATCATTTTTTTATATCATGCGTTTGTGGCAATGGTCTACTTTCCCATACATATTCTAGCCTTCTACCTTTTTTATGCTCTTTTATCTTTTTATCTTTTATCTTTCTTATATTCTTATGTTATTGTTATCTTGTATTTATTCAACTTTATCGTATTCGTTTTTTTCTTCTTGTCTGTCTTCTCTTTTTGGCATCGATATCATGGATCGATTCATTTTAGCCGACCCCAAAATCTTTTGGGATTAAGGTTTGGATGTTGATGTTATTGATATGCGTGTCGCAAGCCAGGATTAAGGAGGGGTGTTGTGGTAGGCGCGTGATGACTAACAATATCACTTAGTCACATCACACGACATGAATCGAAATATGAATATCGTTACAGCTATGTCGTCGCTCAGAAGTGACACGTCACCCTAATGTCAGTGGGTGGTGTCATGTATGCTAGGGCATGGTGGGGTCAATGTGCAATGAAAAAGAGAAGAAAAGTTGCTAGATTGCGCTTTGAAATGTGGATTGTTGACTCTCTTACGAGAAGATCATCGGAGGTAGTCGAGGTTACGAGGAGGATTATCGGCAATATGTGTGTGCAAGAAACTTAAGTGGGTTGGAGAAAAGACACGTGAGATATATTTCGGAGGTTTTAAGTTGTGACATTCGGGGAGAGAGAAGACCAGAAATGGAGTAGGCAGTATTGTGACATGTGATAATGTTGAGGGTGTGGTGGAAGTCTTTAGGAAGAACAATCGTGTCATGAGCATTAAATTTGTAATAAGACATGAGATCATGTTTGTGGTAAGTGCCAATGCATAACAAGTGGGATTGGATGCATCTATCACTCAACAATTTGAGGAAGATCTTGAGGTAATGGTGGGACAAGTGGCAAGGGGAGAAAAGCTGGTCATAGGTGGCTACCTCAATGGACATGTGAGCCCAAGTTGTGATTGGTTTGAGAGTATCCATGAAGGACATGGTTTTGACACTAGAAATGAAGCGGATTAAAAACATACCGCTTCATTTCTAGTCTGAAAATACATCCTGGATTTCGCCTCAACATTTGAGTTGACAGTAATGAACACTTGGTTCAAGAAAAGAGACTCTTATCTTATGGCCTATAAATGTGGAGCTAATAGTACCTAAATTGATTACTTCTTAGTACAAGCGGCTTCAAGAACTAGCTACACTGATTCATGCTTGTGCTTGAGAGTGTTGTCACTCAGTATGTAATGTTTTTGCTCGATTTTCAAGGTAAGAAGAGAAGCGGGTTAAGCAACAAATGGAGCCAAAGACAAAGTTGTGGAGGCTCGAGAGGGATCTCCAACAAAGTTTTAAACACAATATGTTGGAGGAAGATGTATGGTGTATCGCTAATGACACACATGTGGATGATGTGTGGTTATCGTTGGAGTCGACCATTAACAAAGTGGTGAAAGAAATATTCGGATAATCTAAAGGATCTTTGCCACCAAAAAATGACACATCTTGGTGGAATGATGAGGTGAAACAAACAATAAGGATCAAAAGGAAATGCTACAAGAAGTCGGGCAAAAGTTGGAGCGATGAGAATATAGAGGTACAAAGAGGAGAAAATAAAAGTAAAGAAAGACGTAAAGGAAGCAATAAGGAAAGTGAACAAGTAGTTGTATCTAAATTGGACTCTAAAGAAGAGAAAAAGATATTTATAAACTCACTCGTTTTCGTGATCGTAGGATTCAAGATATCAGAAAAGTTAAATGTGTGAAAGATGTCGATCAAACGGTACTAATGGAGGATTTGGAAATAAAATAGAGGTGGTCATACTTTTGATACCTTGTTCAACGCGAATAAAGTGCAAGGTATTGATGATCTTACTATACCAAATTGTATAATAAATCGTGATTTTGTGAGAAGGATTCAAATGACAGAAGTTAAAGAGGCTTTGAGAAAGACGAGGCAGAAGTAAATAGTGCGTCCATATGACATACCAATTGAGGCTTGAAGAAGATTGGGAGAGAGAGGCATCAAGTGGCTTACATGTTTCTTCAACACGATTTGGAGAAACAACAAAATGCAGTGAGCTGGCGGAATAGTACTCTTATTCCCCTATTTGAAAATAAGGGTGATGTACCATCAAGTTAGTCAAAGTCGTGAGGCACACTCAAGGCATTAGAGTACTCAAATCGATTGAGGTGCAAGGCGCAAAAATAAGCGCTTGGCGCACCATCTATATACTTAAAAATATATACCATAGTTATAATTCTTAAAAGTATAAAACAAGTTAGAAAAAGGAATAAACAAAACTAAAAGAAGAAAATTGTTAGTTGTTAGGAGATAAAGTATAAAACAAAAGAAGAAAATGGCAGATAAAAGAGAGAGAAAAGATAAAGATATAGACTTTTAATTAATTAGTTAAAAATAAAGAAAAAAATGTAGATTTTACATTCAAAAGGTAAAAATAAAAAATAAGAAAAGAAGAAATTCAAAAGACGAGAAAGAAGATGGAAAAAGTAGGAGAAGGAGGTTGCCTTGTGCATGTTGTGTAGCTTGTGGGTGGAAAACACTAAATAAGATTGCAACAGTGAAAACTTTCTAAGTTTCGGACATTGACTAAGAAGGGCTTTAACAAGGTGTAAGTTTTTTTCCCCTATTAGTTGAATGGGCTATATCTTATTATTGATATGGGTTTATTTAAAGAAGGCCTAAATCTTATTTAAAAAAATTCAGAACCCTTTAGTGGTCCAGACGAGTCACGCGTGCGCTACTATTGCTTATATTGCTTCTTGGAAGAGTCTAAGGTGTTACACCTCTATAGCGCCTCGCCTGGTGCGCTTAAGTGACAAGGCGCGCGCTTTTGACTACCCTGTGTACTAGAATGCGCCAACTATCAAGGGATTAGACTTATGAGTCACACCATGAAAAATTGAGAGCGAGTGGTTGAGCAAAGACTAAGAAAAAGTGAGAAAACTTTGGAGAATCAGTTTGGTTTTATGCTCGGGCGCTCAACAATTGAGGTCATTCACTTTCTTAGACAAATTATAGAGAAATATAGAGACACCAGAAATAATCGGCATTTGATGTTCATTGAGTTAGAAAAGGCATGTGATAGGGTATCTCGAGAAGTTCTTTGTTGGGTCCTAACTATAAAATACATATTACGTAAATATATCAGTATCGTCATGGATATGTATGAGCCTTGTACCACAAGTGTTTGTGTTAATGTAGGGAGGATTGCGGAGTTCCGTGTTACTATCAGAGTGCACTAAGGATTGACTCTGAGTCCTTTCTTATTTGTTATAGTGTATGATGCTTTCCGATGAATTGTATTGATTGATGAGATCAATCGGGTGTTAAAGTATAGTTGGAAGTATGACGACAAACATTGGAGACCAAAAGTTTCAGATTGAGTCGAAACAAGACTGAGTTAATGGAGTGTAAGTATGGAGGAAGTAGAAGTAGTAGTACTAGTGGGATTACCCTTGATGGCAAGGAGATACCGGTGTATCATATGTTCCATTATTTGGGCTCTATAATTTAGAAGGATGGTGAATTAGATGGAGATGTATCCCATAGAATCAGAGCATAGTGGATGAAATGGAAGAGCGCATCAGGGTTTATATGTGATCGTGGTATGCCAACTAGACTGAAGGAGTAATTTTATCGAACAATTAAGATTGCACTCATGTATGGCGTAGAGTGTTGAGTAGTGAAACAATATGAGTGTGACAGAGATGTGTATGTTGCGTTGGATGTACTGGAAAAGACCGTTGGAGGAATTAGATAATCAAACAAAAAATGAGAGTAACACCTATAGAGGATAAGATGTAGGAGTCTGGATTACGATGGTTAGGTCATTTGCGTAGAAGACTTAGTGATACATTTGTCGAGTTGTGAGGTGGAGAGAAAAGGGAGGTAGGAGGGGGGAAGATCCAAACAGACTTGAATTAGAAAAATCAGAACTGATATGTTTCTTATTGGGTTGGATTAGAGTATAACTTTGGAAAAACCAAAGTGGAGGTCGCATATATATGTGATCGATTGATCTCTTTTCTCCTTTTTCTCTCTCGTTTTCTTTTATCTTCTTTATCATTTCATGTTCTTATGTTATTTTTATCTTTTCTCTTCTTATGTTGTTATGTTGTTTATATTTTATCTATTTCATCTAACCATATCTTTTTATTTTTCTTCTCGTTTTGATTCTGATATCATTTGATTCTGATATCATGGATCGATTGAGGTTTTTTTTTTTTTTTTTCATTTCCCGAGTTTATGTTTGGATGTAGGGTTTGAGGGCCAGGTTTTGAATGGCTCAATTTATCTTTGAGATTTATAAAAAAAAACAGAAAGTTAAATAAATGACGATAACTATTTGTTGCCAAGGCGTTGGACAGCAAACCCTGGTTTAAAATGGTCGTATTTTCCCAATGGATATATTGAATATATATAGACGCGGTAACCTGAAAGCAGAAAAGGTAATAACAATGCGGGAAAGTAATAAATAGCTTCGGATTCGACTGTAATTGTTTTGTAAAAGAAGTGTACTGTAAGTAGCTTATATTTATGGGACATTTACTAGGATGTGACTAAAACTTAATGAGTTTCTCAATCTATGACCTAACTAGTTTTTATACCTTTGTATGACCAAAAATCCAAAAACAAATAGGAAATTCGTTTATATTTAAATGTTGAATGACGAAAATACCCTTATTTAAAATATGTGCATTTTGCACTAATTTCGTCCAATTAAAATTACTGCACTTTATATTGCTGCTGGTGAGTTGGAATGCCTTCATGCTGCTGGATGGCGGCATTAGTTGGATGGAGACGGAGGTGCGCGGATGGGTGGCGGCGTCTGCACATACGCATCAGGGTGAAGGTTGGGGCGCGGATGGGAGGCGAGCGCATGGCCTGGGATGGCGGTGCACAGGTCGGGGAAGGGGCGCAAAGGTCTGCGACGGCAGCGTACAGATCTTCGAAGGTGGGCACAGGTCTGGGACGGTGGCACTTCGATCTGGGACGGCGACGAGGAGAGGCGGTTGGACGGCGCAGCAAGAAGCCACGTTGCTTCGGCGGTCGGCGACTGTGCTCCCAGGTCGATGTTTTGTGGAATGCGGTGGCGCTGGGCGGATGGCGGCGGCTGGACGGTGGGGCAGCTGCACGGGGGGGGGGGGGGGGGAGGTTGTATCTACGGTTGTAGAAATGAGTAGGAGGGTTGTAGAAATGGGTAGGAGGTTAGAGTTTTATAGATATAAGCAAAAGGGTATATTTGTCCATTAAAAATAATAATTAATTATTAATTACAAATTTTAATTAAATATTATGAATCATAATATTATTTTGAGAATAACACTAGTTAGGTCATAGATTGGGAAACTCATTGAGTTTTAGTCATACCTAGGATAATTATTTCTTTATTTATTATTATGTCTGAAAGTAATTGGAAATTGGAAGAACATTCTTTTATATATATTCACCAAAAGATGAATTAGGGTCCATTTAGTTCACGGAATGTTAGATTACCGCGAGAATGTTAGATTACTTGGTATGTTACATTGATGGGAATGTTATCAATTTGTAACCCATTTGTGTTTGGTTAAAATTAAAGGAATGTGACATTAATTTGTTTGGTTGAGTGATATCTTATACTCCCTCCGTCCCGAAAAGGTCCGTCAACTTTGACTTTCACGTGGATTAATAAAGTAAAAACTGTGTGGTTGAAATTTGTGCAGAGGAGAGGGAATTAACTTTAGTCACATATTCCTTACTTTAAATGGAAATGACAAATCTTTTTGGGACATCCAAAAAAGGAAATTTGACAAAACTTTTCGGGACGGAGGGAGTATTACATATTTGGTGAATTACTTTAATGTCCTTTACCTATTTTCTCTTAACATAACAAACTTATACACCCTAACTACCTACGACTAAAGTAATTTAACTTTAAGAAAACAATAAAATATCTTAATAATAAACAATCAAAATTAAGTGAATTGTTTTTTTAAAAAAGTATGTTTAATTGCACAAATGTCAAAGATTAGTGAACATTAGTAATAATTTTGTTTAAGTAAATGCATAATGACACGCATCAATAAATAAAGGTGAACACATTGTTATTTAAGCAGCTGCAGCAAAAAAAGAAAATGAATGTTACTCCGTACAATTTTTTTTTTTTTTTTTTGGAGTGAACTTACAATTTACGAGTTACGTAACATTTTAATTTTTCCTTTGCATTTGATTTTTTATTGAATTAAAATGTTTAATGAATTATATAACTACTTAGTGGACACGCTAACATAACAATTTAATATTAAAGTTCACCAAGTTGTTAAACATAACTTAGTGGTCACGCTAATATCCAAACTAAGTTGTTAAGACTCATGAATTAATTTGTTATGTTACAACAACTGGACATTGCCTGAGTTTAATCGACATAGTAGCAGAAGGAGAAAAGATAGACTTTCCTTGACCCGCTGAAGACAAACGTTGGCCTATTCACGTACTATATTGTGCATAGGATGGGTATTTTTGGAAGAAGATTTATGATCAGGAGGGAATCTAAAATAACCAAAGGGGAAGATGGGTTTGACATTACCCGCAAATTTTGGGAATGCAACATTCCCGGAAATTTTTCGAGCCTATGAACCAAAGTACCAAACAGGGATATCTTACATTCCGGACATCAGATTCCGGCCGGCATATATGATAACCCCAAACCAAACGTACCCTAATGGTGTGTGTGTGTAAATGAATACCCTGGGGAAGGACATAAAATAGAATATCTGATTTTTGAATTGCTATGAAACAATATATCTCATCTGATTGATGGTGCAGGATGATGGAGTCGGGTTTGCTACCAAAAGAGAAGGCGGCACAAGTTTTTGAGAAGAGACAAAAGAAGTCAATAAAATTTAGTTCCCCAATGAAAGCTGTTGGCGGCAGTGTAAAGAGGGAAACTGATTGTGTCATCGATAAGGAGAAGAAGAGGAATAGGCCTTCCCCAGCTGCTGCTGCTGCTTCACAGAGAAAGCGAACTGCCCCATCAAAACTGTCAAACAAGACTAATAATAATAAACGCAAGAAGGATGATGATGATGAAACCGGAGTATCAGATGCGGGCAATGACGACGACGACGACTTTGTTGCTGCTCCAAGGAAGAAACGGAAGACATCCTCATAGCTTGTGGTGATAGGGCATTAGTTAGTGACATTTTGGGTTTCTAATCTAATTTGGGGCTTGCCTTATCGCTCCTACCCATTACACCTTTTTCTAACTACTAAAGCTCGTTTGGATCATCATCATTAATGATAATATTATAATATTAATTATTATTATTATTATTAAGAAAAAATTCATTAATATTACTCTATAGAATGTGCTGGGTAAAAATATTACTTAGTAATTATTGGTGATTATAATTGTGTTTTGAATTTATATTGTAGTAGCTTACATTTAATGATGTACTTACTAGAGTTGCTACGATGTAAATTTGAACACAATTATAGACACTAATAGTTACTACCTCGGTCTCATTCAAAGGTTCTCGTTCACTATTATTCGGCCAATGTAAAGGTTTCTTAATATTTTATTTTATATATCCAAATTTTATTAAATTTGTGTTTTTCTTTTGTAGCTTTATAAAACTTTTAATTTAGTTTGTGAATATTTAATTTAATAAAAAATTTATGGATAGTGATCAATTAACTTTATTGTCAGTCAAACATCGTAAACCGCATGAGAACCTTTCTACGGGACGGGTGGAGTACTAAGTAATGTTTTTGTCCTTGACTTTTTTATGAGTAATATTTAAGGAATAATAATAGTAGTAGTAGTAATAGTAATAATAGTAATAATAATAATAATAATAATAATAATAATAATAATAATAATAATAATAATAATAATAATAATTTCGCTCTCTCTCTTCCTGCTCTGGCGATTCATGGAGATTTCTTGAGTTTCAGAGGGGGGAGATCGAAATCCCTCCTGTTTCTCTTGATTCTTCGTGAATTCCCGTCTTTTTCATCGCCCTTCGTTTCTTTCTTGCCTTGTTTTACACTGCGTACACTGTAGCTATAAGAATTCTAACTTCAAATGGAGTTGCTCCATCAAATGAAACTACTTTAGCTACCCTTCAGTCCAAACATCCCTCTGTCCCCCACCTACTTTTTCCACTGAACTTCATGATGTGCAACCTCTTGTTGCAGACTCTGATATGGTTTTCAGCAAATTATGTAGTTTCCCCAAAAGGACTAGTTGTGGTAGAGATGGGCTCCATGCTCAACACATGCTTGATGCACTTACAGGGCCTGCTGCAGCTATTGCTAATGAGGTTATTCAATCTATTACTGCTATTATCAATCTTTTGTTGTCAGGTAGTTGTCCATCACAACTTGGAGAATACATTGCTAGTGCACCTTTGACTCCTTTGCTCAAACCAGACGGTGGGGTTAGACCTATTGCAGTTGGCACAATATGGAGGAGGCTAGTTTCTAAAGTTGCAGCTTCTATGGTTAACAAGGAAATGGCTTCTTATTTGGGTAATTTTCAATTTGGTGTTGGGGTTAAATGTGGCAGGGAAGCTATCCTACATTCTATCAACCGTATTGTCTATGAATTTGGTGATGATAATACCAAATCTATGCTTTTGGTTGATTTCCAAAATGCTTTTAACATGGTTGATAGAACTGCTATGCTTCAGTATCTATCATTGGGTACGCTTTTGTTACTCCTCCCCTGCCAGGTTATACTATAATACACACATTCTTGCTTCTTCCCAAGGTGTGCAACAAGGTGACCCCCTTGGACCTCTTCTTTTTGCCCTCACTTTACACCCAGTTGTATGAGAAAATAGAATTCGGAAATAATGGCTACCCTTTAGGGTGCCTTGGCCTGGTATTTATAATTGTTGAGGTTTATTCCTTCAACCCTCGGGTCCAACACGTAAGCCCAAGGATTTCGAATGGAGTGTGTATGAGTATCTAGCCCAACTAGCAAGTAATAAAGATCAAGGAGAACAATAAGGTAGCAAGTAAGTGATTAGGTATTATTATCTCTTAATAACTCCCCAATACAATACTTTTCGCTAAGGCTCCGTCGGCCGTTCGTCTTACAAGGCAGTAGAAGTGCTGCGAGTAAGAATACTATAGCTAGAATGCTGAGAATAGAAAGTTGCCAACCCCTTACAATGAAATAAATGCTTCTATTTATACCCACCAATGGGCAGGTGGCTATACTGACGTGGAAGCCTGTGGTTCGCTGGTGTCTCAACCACCAAATCTTCAGCATTAAATGCACTTCCCGCCAGAATCTAGGTTTCCCGCCTAATTAGTGGGGACGTTCGCCCGCCAGGGGAGCTAGCTGGATTGCTCCAGGTGGCCTCCAAGGGGTATCAGCCGTTCGTCCCCTGGCCCTTTGTGGATTCTCGCCATGTGGGCTGGACTGCCTCCAATGACTATGGGCTTGCTCTGGCGACGTTCGTCGCCATTCGGGTAGCCCGTGGTCCTGCTCCTTGTCCCTGCATAGACGTTCGTCGAGGTGGGCTGTTGAGCCTGAACCCCATCTGGAGATGTTCGTCCATCCTGGGGGAGATGGGCTTGCCAAGCTATCTTAGTGACCTATCTGGACGTACATCCGGAAGAGAGGGTAAATGGGCCGGTCCTCAGCTTGGGCCATTAACCCAACACAAGTCCCCCACTTCTGATGTTCTGAGCATGCACAGGACATAAGGAAGTATGATCTCCCCCGAGGGCAAGACGCTCGTGACCTGATACTTGTGTTGTTGCATCCGGTGAAGGCGTACGCTCGTGGTCATGATGCTTAACAGCTGTTGATGGCTCAGGAATCGAGGTGACGGCTGCCATTGCGACGGTGCATTTTCCGAGGAAACGCCATCATTACGCTTCCATCCCACGCACAGCGCGTGGGCCGGAATACGCTCCTTGCTACGTGTCAACCCCTCGTTGGTTCCCTCACCGGTGCTTCTCCTATAAATGCCGGGTTTTCCCTCTGGATTAGGGTTCCCAATTTTTTGCTCTCTTGCTCTTGAATTTCCGCTTCTCTTCAAGTCCTTCCCCGCTTCCGAGTTAGGCCAATCTCCTCGCAAGGTAATTTCCATCCTCTGCTTCTTTTATCTGTCTTGAATTTTCACCGAGATGGTCTCGATGGAGATTTCGTCGAGTTCTAATTCCGGTTCGTCGGGTTCTTCTTCGGGCTCCTCTTCCGACTCCGGTTCACGCTCTTCAGGCGAGACTAGTACGTCTGGTAGTTCTGGTTCGGCCCCTACCGCGGGAACTATTCGGGCCGGGGGAGCCCCGAATGATGTTGTTGCGACTATCCCTGGCGATGAGGGTGCCGATTCAGGAGGGCAAGATAATATGGCCCTCGATGTGGTGGATCCCGCGGCTGATGTTGGGGAGCAGGCTGCTCCTAGCGAGGACGGTCGTCCGGCTGGATATGACTCAGGGGCCGAGGCCCAGGATGGCTCTGACATCGAAGTGTTTGATCTCGGGCTAAAAGTGGATGTGGAGCGGCATCTATGCCCGATCAAGAATGTCCTCTGCCATGAGCAGATTTTCTCGCCGGTGGCCCTTAACAAGCTCAAGGTGTTCTTCCCCCCTCCGTCCGTATACAGCCTCCGTGGCGCCACCCATATGATGAGAAGACGCCCGGGAATGGTTATGGTGCTTCTGGACTCCATCGAGGCCGGGCTGCGTTTTCCTCTCCATCCGTTCTACGTGGAGTTCTTCTGCTGTTATCAAATAGCCCCTGCTCAACTTATGCCGAATTCATACCGGTTCGTCTCCGCTTTCCTAGTCCGTTGCAAGGACAATGGGGTTACCGCCACTCTGGACTTGTTCCATTACTTCTACCGGCTCACACCTCAAAATTCTGACGGCTTTCTGAGCGTCGCTGCCCGTCCGAAAAGGAGGCTGTTCAGCGGTGCGCCAAGTTCCATCCATGATTGGAAAAATCGGTTCTTCTTCGTGCGGTATGCGGATGCTCGTCTGCCGTTGCGGTGGAATGGCTATCCGCCCAAGATAGGGTCTCCGGATCTGACCGATGATCTGGAGGAAGACGTCAAAAAGATCTCGACGGACGGCGTCCGGCCCTTGGAGGACTTCCTCACCTTCGAGGCACTCGCCGCAGCAGGAATAGGTACCGCCCATGCTCTTGGACTTCCCCCCTCCTACGCTCGTCTCGGGGTACTGGGCGGTCCTGACCTCTGAGGTGAGTGTCCCGAGTTACTCCTGACGTTCGTCCATCTAACATTGTCATTTTCCATTTTTTCAGGTCTTCCCCCGACCCAGGAACAAATGAATCACGAGAAGCTCCTCACGACGAGGAAATGCAAAGGTGCTGCTGCTGATGCTGCCCTCGCCAAGGCCAAGGCTGTTCAAACGGCCGATTCCAATTCTTCCGCCTCTCAGGCCGACCGTCGCACGGTGGAGGCGTAACAACACCTTATTGCCACGGTGATGGCACAGGGGTCCCAGGCCCCAATCCTTAATTCTGGCGCTTCCGAAGTCGTGGCGCCCTTGCTGACCGTCCATCCCCATGACGGGGAGAAGGCGAAGGACAAGAAGTCCAAAAGGCCCCGGGGGGCTTCCTCTTCGGCCCCCGAAGAGCAAGAGTTGATTCTTCCTTCCCTTGGACGTCCGGCTCATGACGTCTGGCAGGAGATTGCTTCCCTGGTCGGCGTGGAAGTGCCTCCCCGGACGTCTTCGGAGGCCTCCAATGCGGTTCTGGCCGCCGCTCTTCAGGTGAGACTTCGCCCCTCGCCGGGTGGTATTTTATCGTATTCTGTTGACCTGAGGTCTCATCCTCTGTGTCTGTTTTGTAGGTCGGGCTCTCCACCCTGCAAGCCGAGGCTGCTCGGGACGCCGACGCCCTCCAGGCCAAGAATAAGGCAGATGCGGCCTTGAAGAAGGCGAGGGAGGCCGTTCGTCTTCAGGAGAAGGAGACGGCAGCCAAGGAAAAGGAGCTGCAGGCCGCTCTGAAGGTAGCTCGCGAATCTTCCGCGAAGCTTGCGGCCCTGGAGAAGGCCGGATTCAAGCTCGTCCCGGCTCTCCCTGCCCCCAAGGACGAGGCCCCCGAATGGCTCGTTGACGACTCTGGGTATCACAACTCTGGGGCCTTCATGATCGCCGCCCAGAGGTACCTTGGGGGCGCCTTTGGCGATGTATTCGCCGCTGAACTGCAGAAGCGTGCGCCGAAGGACCGGCTCAAGTTCGGGGTCCAAGTTCTGGAGAGTGCTCCCCTGGCCGAGAAGTTCTTGTATGACGTCGGAGACAGCTCCTTTGTCATTGGCTACAACGAGGGGGTGAAAGCCACACTGCCGGTCTTTGCCGCTCTTCAGGGCCCCGGATTCAACCTGGCCCAGCACACCACGGACCCGGAGCTGATTCGAGCGGTGGGCAAGCTGGAGCGGGACGCCCGGCGGGAAGAAGCCAAAGCCAGGGGTGAGGTCCCAGAGCCTCCGACCCCCGAGCCCGAGCCCGAGGAGGAAAAAGAAACCATTCCTGGGGGGTCCCGGCCTGTTTCCCCGAATTTTGTTTAATGTAGCTTGTAATCTCTTTGTTATGATTCTGTAATATCCGGCCAGTAGAGCCGAGGAATACACAACTCTTTTTGCCCCATCATTGTCTCTACGTTCATGAACTCTTCTTGTTTCCTTTCATTGTTAGTAGTATTTCGATTCCTTGGGATATTGTTAAAGTTCGCGAGGACGTTCATGTCCATATTTCATTTTTGCATTCCGGTCTTTCGAGATACGAACGTATCGCCAGGGGTTCGTCCCATACGTGTGAACCACCTCCCGCACTGTACGTATTCAATCCTACGTGCGGGGGCGCGAACGTATTCCCCAGGATCAAAGTTGGTAGAGACGTCCGTCACGTGGTTACAGGCATAATTATCCATGCTGTGCGTGCTCAACTTAAACTTTGTGGGGCGATGTCCGTCTGTATGACTAGATGTGGGGGTACGGACGCACTCCTCAGAGACAATGCCTTGATAGAGATGTTCGTCACGTTAGGAGTAGCATAACCTTTTATGCCGCGTGCTCAACCCTGATTTCATTCATGGACGTTCGTCTGGTCGCGTGTTGTGGTGGTGCGAAGCATGGAAATATGAACGCAATCTGTGGATGCGGTCTCTGTGTGCCCCTATGGGGGACGTTCGTGGCACCAAACCGGGTTCCTTCGTGGTGACTGTGGGGTGGTAACATCGAGGCGCTTTTAATACCGTGGTAGGTACCGGTATCCAGGCGCCACGTGTTCCTGTTAGTACCCAATTTTAATAAGATTTTGATGATGTCACTATACTAAGAGTCAATATGTCCTGCGTTCTTACTTTAATTAAAGGTTGATCAGGCTCTCAAACTGTGACTAATTAAAATTTACAATTTTTGTACTAAATAAATTTTTACTGGAAAATTAAAATGCAATAAGGTATTCTTTTTACCTTAAAAGGATATTCAGATCCCACCAGTATAAATTTATTTAGTACATAAAATTATCAAGTCACATAATCAGCTGATCAAGAAATGACAAATTAATTCTGTACCAAATAAATTTTACTGGAAACTAAAAACTACAATAAGGTAAAATTTGTTTACCTTAGAAGGACACTTTGATCCTACCAGTACAAATTTATTTGGTACATAATAAAATAGAACACAGCATACACACACATACACTGCATGTGTATGATTGAAGACAAAGACAAGAAAAGCATTAAATGCTCAACAGTACGAAGACCAAAGAAGATGGGTCGCACACACCAAATCGTGAAGATTGATCCTTGACTTAATCTTCTAGCTACTAATCAGTGAAGACAAAGGAAATTTCCAATATCAGCTCCAGCACAAGAGAACAAGAGTACACCTCATTCTGCGAATAGGATTGAATCCTCTCAACCAACGGAGGAGATCAACCTACTGGAGAAGCCTATAAAAGAAGGCATAGGCATGAGTTCTAAAACTAAGTCTTGAGTTTTCTAAGTAGAGTAATCACTCTAAGCATACAAGAGATATCTAGCAAAAGAGAAAGTGCACGCTTAACTTTACTCTCTGCTTAGACTCATGCTTCACTAAACTTCTAAGTCACAAACATTCATCGAAATTCTAGAAGTTTAGTATCTAGTTGGAGGTTAGAACTTTCTTGTATTAAACTGTTGTAAACACTTAGGAGAACAGTTGTTCATATCCTTAAGTGTAGATAGATAGATAGAGTACCTTTTGATCCCCACTGGATCAATTGAGAAAATCCAAAGGATTGAGTAACTTTGAGAAGTGTAATACTCATTGTGAAACACCTTTCAATCTAGGCCTAAGAGTTGTAAAGGCTAGATTGGCACTAAGTGTATTGGGGTTAAATACTTTAGTGGAAATCCATTTGAAAGAGAATGGGACTGGATGTAGGAGGATTACACCACCTCTCAACCAGGATACACTGTGTGTTAATTTACTTATAAACTAACAAAGCACACACCAAACACTTCTCACAAAAGGATTGTAGTTTGTCAGCAGCATCCTAAGCAGTAGTCTTAACTGACCCTACTGCTTATCCTACTGCTTAATTACTCACTCTCCTTAGATAATCTCTCAACAAGAATCTCTCATTTCTAGCAGTTACCTTAGCAGTACACTGCAGGAACCTCAGCAGTACACTCACACTCACTCAACTGCTAAGCATACTGCTTCAACAAACTCACTCAAACTCAATCGATTTATCAAGCTATCTTCAATCCAAGCAATATCACGATCCCAACCTCTTCACAACTCAAATATCCTCTAAGCAGTTGCCTTGGCAGTTGCCTTAGCAGTATCCTACTATCCAGTCAACTGCTGACCCTACTGCCCACACATTTTCATATCTCTTGAACTTCACTAAAAGGAAATCAGCTCACATCACCCTCAGAATATCTTCCTATATCTCAGCAGTCACCTAAGTAGTTCCATCCGCAGTTTCCTACTCTCCTACACAGCAGTAGTCTCAGCAGTACACTATCATTCAGTCAACTGCCAAGACAACTGCTAACACAAAATGTTCAATATCATATCCAAATAAGAAAGTTGTGTCATACCAAGTTCCCAGAGGTTAAAGACTTCCGCTGTGCATCTATCAATCTCTCAAAAGATTATAGATCAACTCATTAACAAGGGAAAAAGCTTTAAGAGTCTATTCACCCCCCCCCTCTAGACTCTTATCTCTCTCAGGGACCATCAGTTCCACCGCGATTGGTGCGCTCCCGCGGTGCTGTCTATAAGTATCCAAAATCTCGCGAATTCCCCACTCGCTTCATCTCTAGCTCTTGTGCTGCGCAACTACTTTCTCTCTCTAGCTTTCCCCTGCGTTGCTTCAGGCTCGAACCCCGGTAGGTACCGAACGTCGTCATGTCTTTTTCTAGGTTAGAAACCTAAAACGTTGATTCAAGGACCCGAAGCAGCTCGTCGTCCGCCGGGGATAGGTTTGATGACGGGTGTTCCTCCGGTGATGATCTAGAATTCTATGAGCGGGGTATGCCACCTCGGCCCCCCCGCCATCATCTGAATTTCTCCGGCGTTCGTCGTCAGCGCCAACGTCTGTTGAATGCGGACCGTCGGTTGATAAGCCAATGGTTCCTCCCTCCAAGGGTTTACGACGGTCGTCGTCTGCGCAACCCAATGCGCCATCTGCCCGGCCATGTGGTGGTCCATCTAGACTCCGTTATAGCTGGCCTTCTTTTTCCCCTCCATAGCTTCCATATAGAGCTTTTTAGGAGCCTCAAAGTGACGCCTGCTCAGTTCGTCCCCGCTGCTTACAAGATTATCGCGGGTTTTATAATTAGATGTCACAGTGTTGGCGTGATCCCCACCGTAGACTTATTGCACCACTTCTTCCGGTTATCCCCCTTCGGACGTACGGGGTATTTAATCCTGATTGCGCGTCCGTCCATGGTTCTATTCTCAAACAATGCCGGGAACTCGGACGGCTGGGAGGAGCGGTTCTTCCTCGCCGAAGTAGGCTCCCCGATGCCATTCTCCGATAGGTGGAACGCCTACCCGGTGAAGTCCATCCCGCCGCCTATGACGGATGAGGAGCTTGGCTATGCCAAGCGCATAGCTGGTCTTGGCGTCCGGAACCTCCAGTCGCTGGTGGCCGAGCCTTTCAAAGCTCGGGCCGGACTAGGTGCGTCTATTTGTACTTGCATTGTCCTATCACCCTTTCGTTGTTATGGTTCTGAACGTCTTGACTTTCTTTCTGCAGGAGTTTTCCCATCTACATCATCCATGGGACGTACCAACGCTGCTTCGCATGCCCACGGCCGCGAAGACAAAGATGAGGATAAGGGCAGAAAGCCGCTCGTCCCCAAGATCGAGTCTCGGGCGAGCAGGAGGCGGTCAGACGATGCGTTGGAGGCTTCAAAGAGGCCGCACATTGATGGTACTGCCTCCAAGGCCATCATAGTGGCTGACGACTCCGATGGTGAGCCTGGGAGTCCCTTGAAGCGGAAACCCTCTTCCCGGAACAAGCCCCCTATTTCTCCTCCGCTGAACTCTGAGGTTCGTCGACTTCGAGATGAAGATGTCCAAGCTACCAAAGGTTCTGACGATGCTCGTCCCCCTTCGCCCTCAGAAACCAACGGGTCCTCTCTCGGCCTCATCGAATTCTCCGGGGTTGGCCCTCGCAAGGAGTCGATGATGCTTTTTGGCCAGACCGCATCTTCCATCTGGTGTGGCCTCAACCTCAAGGTCCCCCAAGATTTCGCCGCCCATGAGGCCCCCGAGGATCTCCTGGAGTGTGGGCAAAGTACCCTGGACAAGGCCGGGCTCTACTTCCACAGGGCTCGGATGGCCTTTGAGCATCAGAGTAAGGAGATGGCTCGAGTGCGGGCTGAGTGTGATGCCCTTCTGAGGAACGCCAGAGGCAGGGCCGGGACGCTCCAAGAGAAGGCCGATGCCTACGACAAGCTTGCCCAGGAGAATGCCTCCCAGAAGGAGCTCCTTAGGAAGCAGGAGCTGAGCTTGTGGACCTTCGTAGCCGGCTGTGGGCCGTGGAGCAGGCAAAGGTGGAAATCCGCCGTACGGGTGTGGATAATCATGTCCCGAT